CTCGGATTTGACTGAAATCCTCTCTAGAACTCACTAGGAATAGAAAACAGCTTCTAACTCCTACCGTGTCGTGGCTTAGCCAGGCGGCTCCTTCTTATCTCTAACATCCGTCCAGGTTGGTGGGGGAGGGGGTTCACGGAAGATTCTTTCACTCTCTCCGCAACACCCCCACGCCCCCCCCCCTTAATGTAGTAGCTAACTTGACCTTTTCTGCCCTCTCTGTAGCCACTAGGCATCTCTATCTTTCTACCCACCTCTGGTTAAACGGGCATCCAGTGGTGTTCAGAACCGCCCAGACCCGGGTCTCCAAGTGGAGGATATACAGCCTCTGGGAAAATGACTCCTCCATTAGTTGGATTCCAGTCTTAAAACATCTACAAAATTTCTGTGTTTGGATCTTTTCTTTTCTTCCCCCTCATCTTTCTTTTATCCAGAACATTCACCCCCTTTTTGTCAGGTGTTGTCCAGATGTGTAAACACCCTCCAGAAAGAGCCCGTTGTCATTCAGCCAGCTTATTGCCATCGGGCGGCAAGGAGGTGGCAGATGTTTGTATTTTTGAACAAACACTCTTAAGGTTGTTCCGAATATCAGCTGAATGGCACACACCCCTCTTCAGACTATTTGTTTTCTCAGCGGCAATTAGCGCCACAAACGAAAGGGAGAGAGCACGATTCTAACTGCCTTTTATAGGGGGTGAAATAACTGCTTCCAAACGTATCTCCCAGAACAGGATCGTGGTCACCAGCAGCACCAAAAACCAAGCGATCAATCGCATCTGAAGAGTGATTCGCTGGCAGTAGTAATTGACTTCGGGGCAACTCAACTTTTTCTCCGTTTGTCTTTCATCACATAACGGAGAGGGAAGGCGCTTCAAATTAGAGGGTCTCTAACATATAATTTATCAGCAATCGTACTTGCGAGCCTATACTTAAAGTGCTCCCGTTGGGAAAATGCGCATGTTGTAAATTCATTCATGCAGACTATATTCTTTCTGTCAGGAATATTGTGTCTCCTAAAACAAAATCCAACAAAAGTCTTTGCTGACATATCAGATAACGGATTGTTGTGAGATATCTAACTATATATCAGTCTATCTCTCTGTCTAACCCTATTTTGGCCTGAAATGTTACCTCTTTTCCTCTAGTGACCCCTCGCCATTCCCATAGGAAAATCCCCGGCAGAGCTTTCCGCGATGAAGATATCAGCCCCCATAGACCCCAGCCATTTCGAAAAGACGCTCCTTTTTGGAATTAAGTTAATGACAGCTATTCTACTTGTCTCCTCTGGCGATGACTTCTTTGGTGCTAAGGTTTCAGACAAACAGGAAAGAGAAAATAAAGCCCAAAGCCGCCCCGCGCCGTCCTCCTCGGTACCTGCCCGAGGGAGCGGCGCGGCCGCCAGCTCGGCCTTTGGGCGAGCCCCACCCGCAGTCTGGGTGACTCCTGCCTCGCCGGCCGGGAGCCCCAGACGCAGGCATGACCTTCGCAGCCCGGGGCCTCAGCACCTCGACTTGGGGCGGGGTCAGGGCTCAGGGCTGAGCAAACAGCAGCCAGACCTCAGGGAGCAAGAACCACAACTCCCACACGCCGCCCGCCAGGCCCGGGAGGCCAGAAGCAGTGGCGGCGGCGGGGCCGTGCCGACCCCGGCGTCCGGACTTATTAGGAGCGCGACCGCCACGCGGGTCGCAGGGAGGAAGGCTGGGCGCGAGGCAGAGGCGCGGGGCGTGTTCGCGTCAGTCAGTCTGGCCGACCAATGAACGCTGCGCCCTGGGGTGCTCCGGACCAATCGGAAGCGAGGAAGGCTTGTGAGTGGCATCAAGGGAGGACGGGCGAGAGGAAGCCCGGGAGTTGAGGCTAAACCGTGTAAGCTATAAAGAAGTTACAGGGGAGCGTTTTAGACTTCCAATTAGGAATAATACTAGCTTCGAAGCAACTACCGAGGAGGAGGATTCTAAAACCACCTCACCCGTCCCAAGGCCCGCATTCCCCTCCTTCTCTCATGCACCCCTCCCCCAATTCATAACCATGAAAAAGGAGCCAGGGCGCGCTCTGCTCCTCTCTGCGAGTGGAAAGCCGAGAGGCCCGCGGAGTTGCTTAGTTGGACGGTAGGCATGAGTGCAATTAAGAGGCGGGCGCCTCTGCACCTTTTGCCGCCAGCGGGGACTGAAGGTAGGTGAAGCGGAAGACGCCCGGCCCCGGCGCCGCGGCTCCCCCAGCTCTGCGGCGGAGGGGGAGAGGCCAGAACGGCCCCACGCGAAGCCTGCGCGGGGCTGTGGTAAGTGTGCCACCTGTTAACCTAGCGCTGCCGTGCCCGGCGTGTTGCCGCCCTGAAGGGCAAGAATACCGCTGGGTCTCCTTGGAAGTCCCGAGGGACTTGATGTGTAAGTGTCCACTTTTTGAGGAATCCCTTAGACTTGAGACCGAAGTTAGAAAGGGAGCCAAGTCCCAGATCCTCCAAGGTCGGGGGACTGCGAGCCGCCCGCAGCGCTGTGGAGCATTCTGATTTGCAGAAACTAGCTTGCCTGGGGCTGCACCTGGCCGGGGCGCGGGCCCGGGGGCCGGCTGCGGCGCGTCTCCTGAGCGTCTTCACAAATGGGCGTTTTGTTGTTTGGGCAACTTCCCAGGGGGCTGGAGAATGTGGCTAGCATTGGGTGAGGAAATGCGAGCATTATTTTCAGGGGCTCAGTCTCGCTGGCTGATTTCTCCGATCTTAAAAACCAGACAAAAACATCGAGTCTGGTGAGGAAAGCTGGGGCGCTCAGAGGCCCTTTGCGGCGGGTTTTCGGGACTCGCGCGAGGGTGTGAGTAACTGTGGAGCCGCGGATCTCTTATGCTCTGGTGCTGTTGTCTTCACAGCGGCCTGAAAGAAGTTGTCTGGGATTCCTGTTCCCCCCAAAAGGGCTCGGAGCCGCCTCCAATGCCGCGAGACTGAAGAGTAAACGTCGGGGGTTATTATGTCGATTTTTCGAGGACCCGGGTTCGCAGCGCGGAATCGAAGAAAAGTCTGGCTCCTCAGGGGTCCTGCTGGCATTTGACACCCGGAGCCCCCCAGGATTGCCCAAATTGCCGTGGATCAGCAACTTTCCTATACTCAAGAAAATATTTTCATTTCGCAGCTCTGGCCTTTTAACTACCATCTGTACATTCTCTTCGGTGCGAAGACTTCAGCCTCTTCGTTCCAAGTATGCTTTATGTTTTTGTCAAAAATGATCTCTAATTGAAAGTTTATTTTTGGTTTTGGATGAATCTGTGGAGCTTACGTTGTAAGAAAAAAGGGGGAACGAGACACAATGAAAGAGAAGTCCAAAAATGCTGCCCGGACTAGGAGGGAGAAGGAAAACAGTGAATTTTTTGAACTGGCTAAATTACTGCCTTTGCCCTCGGCTATCACCTCGCAGCTGGACAAAGCATCCATAATCAGACTCACCACCAGCTATCTCAAAATGAGAGTGGTGTTCCCGGAAGGTAAGTGACTTTGCCCAGATGAGATTTCAAAGGCAGAAGGGGTACCAGATTTGCCAGGCGGTAAGACTAGACCAGTGGGCAGAGAAATACATATATATTTACATCCATACTTTCTGCAAAGAGGAAGGAAAGTTTAACCCGGCTACTTGACTAAGGACCTTCCTGAACTCAGCGTTTTTGTTGCCTTTTCCTGGCTGCTTCTACTTCCCCATAAATACTTTCTCTTCAGTCCATCAGATATGTTTGGTTGGGAAGCAGCCCAACAGCGCTTTTGTCAACACTTCAGATAGTGGATTCAATCGAAAGTAGTACTAATCCAAACATGACTTGCTTTTTTATTCCTCTTGTTAGAATTGTGTCCAGTAGAAAGCAGGGGCACTGCCAAATTCTTGTATTTTTGCTAGGTATAGATAGATCCATGTACATGGATAGTTAGATAATAATTTCTCTATATTTCTATAGTTCTGCAAACAAGAAGCAGGCATATTTGTGAGCAGAAATATCCTGAATTTACCCTGTCTCTTGACTGCTTATAGAAAATTCATTCTGAGTTTCCAGCATGTTCATAGATTCTGAAACTAACTCTGGGGGTTGGTAATTTGCAAATCTGGGCTTAATGTTATTTCTGAGATAATAGGTTAGTCCCAAAATACATAAGTTTAAATTATGATTACTAACTAGTCTGCTTGGAAAATGTCACCGGGGTGGCGGGTTGGCAAAGGAATTCTGGGAAAATTGTCTAGACCTACAAGTTAGAATTGCTGAGCTGTTAACATGATTTAAAACTTGTATTCAGATGATCAAAATTCACTGTGTGAGGACAGAGCAGCCTCCCTAGAACTGTCCTGTACAAAACCATTTGTACTTACTAGGAAAAGGACATTTTCTCTTCCATTTATCCATCCTTTCCTTTGCCCTCATCCAAATAACATAAACAAATTTTTAAAAAGTATTTAGATTTGTCTTTGCTGGGGGAGGGGAGGATTCAGAAATGTGAAGGAGAGAGTACTATACAAACAAAGAAACAAAAATCCAAGAGAAAGAATCCTCCTTATTTCCAAACCAGAATTTTTGTTTGACCCCAGATGTTGATGTTGTTGTTGATTTTGGGTGTTTGGGATTTGTTTTCTTTAAAGGAAAATGGAGAAGGAAGAGGAAATCGTCATTATCGGGTTTACAGTTTCACTTTGCTTGATTTTTGACTTAAAAGTTATTATCCGAGTCAAAAACTTGCAAAACATGCCCCAAATTAGTCAGGGATACTAAAGAAAAACTTTCAAAGTATAGTTAAGTTCTACCCCAAAACTATAAGTAGTGTATGGTCGTTTTGTCTTAAAGCTGTTTCTTGGACAATTCTCCTGAAAACCACGGGAGGAGAGGAATCAAAGCGCAAATTACCTGAAAAGTTAAAAAAGAAAGGAATAGGAGGCAGGACATGTATATTAAAAACCATACTTCCCATTCAAACTGTACTGGGAATTGCCGGTGGGAAAATTACTATAATGCACACTGCCTTCTGTTTAAAAAAGAAATCTCGTTGTCTTTTATACTGTCAGCGCCTACTTTATAAAAATAAAGCTATCGCGAACTCCGCTGGACGCGCGGGTCCTAACAGGATTATTAGCAGTGATTTGTCAGCCTCTGCGGTCTCAGTGGGTTCCCTTTCTACGTGATTTCTAGCGGGTCTCGTCAATTATCGGTGCCGATGTCGCTCGGTGTTTGATCAGAAGAAGCATATGGTGCCGCTTGTAGGGTTGCGAGTAATCGCAGGCCTAGAAGAATAGCTAGTCCCGGTCCTCAGGCGAGCGCAGAGCCGGAGGAGAAGTCGCGGGGCTTGTCTGCGTGGTGCAGACCGGAACAGTAGCGGCCGGGGAGGGGCTCAGCTTGTTTTTGCTTTTTTTTTTTTTTAAGAGAGCAAGCCTTCTTTTTTAATTAAGTGCTAACTTCACAAATTTAAAATCGCGAGATAAATAAATAGGAGGGACAAAAAACAAACTCTCACCGCCAACTTCTCGGGTTTTTATCTTTTATTATTATTTTTTTTTGTAAGAGAGCTCTGATAAAAATGCTCCCTGGAGTCTCTCTTGGCGGCCAGGCCCATCCCCTCTGGCTACTTTAACAGCGACTGTGCTTTCTACAGCCCTCCTCACCTTCCGAGCTCCGGGCCCCTCCCTCCTATCCCTTTTTCTGTGGGTGAGTGTGAGTTTATGGGCAGGAAGGGGGTGGACGATGTGCGAGCTCTGGGCACATCATTTATTTCTACAGCTACTGTTGAGCTCATAACTCATCCACAGCCTACACCGGGTGAATTAGGCAGGGTCATTCGAACAGCTGGCTCCTCAGGATGAGGTTTTAATTTTGAGTCTGGATGGGCTTCAAAAACCCCAAAGCCAAACAAGCTCTTTAAGAATACGAAAGAAAAACAAAAACAAAACAAAAACACACCAACTTTCAAAGGGGTGAGACACAAGTCGCAGAACCTGGCATAACCTGCAGGGGGTGCCAAATTTGGGTTCAGCAAAGTCAGAGAGTGGACAAGATTGGGGTCCATGGTAGTAGAAGAAACTCAGCACTTTATATGGGATTAAGCTTTTTTAGTGATGAGAAATGGAAATAATAAATTTGAAGATGAATTTTATCTTTACATTGATCTTGAAGCCATCCTAATACATAGTAGGTCCTCAATAAAATTTTGTTTGGGATAAACAGTTGTGTCAAATGGTAGGCATCCTATCTCATGTAACTTATTTTTTTCCAGGTACATAATCTAAAGTAACTATAAATCTGGTGTCACTTCTTAGCTATAGACATAACAGTGACTGTAAAACCTCACTGTTTTTGCTCACATCAGATTTCACCTATAATACCCTGTAATGCCAAAAAGGCTAGTCAGTTAAATCAACAAACAAAAACCTTCCATACTTATATTTGAAAAAAAAAAAATCCTCAAAATATAGCTCGTTCTCCACTCCTGCCATTGGTGAATATATCATCACCCTCCTAGGATCTAGTGGCTTCCTTGTCAGGGGGCAAATTTCAGTTTTTTTTTTTTTTTTTTACCTGAGTAGATAAAATTGAACTGTTGGGAAAAATGAAAAAGAAAGAAAAAAGAACTGGATTTGTTAAGAATAAAGCGTTAGACTGGAGATTTCATCGTTTAAAAAAAAAAAAAAACCAGGAAAGATTTCTGTGAAATAATGAAAATTGCACCTCTCCCAAATGATAGCATTCTATTCTAAAATTGCCTTGCAAAGGAAAAGTTGAGACAATCTAGAAATGTATAAATCTTTGATGTTATCATATCCAGAAAGGTCAGATAAAAAAGATGGTTTGACTTTATTTGTGTGCAATATAGGACGAATTCAACTAAAAAGAAATACATATGTATTTGATATCCAGCTATAATGAAATTTTGACTGGAGGCATAGTAGTTTGCATAATAACCTTTGAAAGGTCAAGCATGTTTTCAAATCTATAGCCATTTAGAATCTTGGTAAGATCACACTACCATTTCATTGTCAAGATGTCCTGAGAAAAATAAAAATAATCACAAAGTTGAAATTAGTAACTGCTCAAGAAAGAGTCTCTCCAAAGGCAAGAGGGACTAGGATGATTAAACAGACCTCCACAGACACTTTCTGTAATATTCACCTCAAGAGTAAAATTCTTAATGGCATTATATTTTTTGAGGCCAAGAACTGAAAAAGAAAGAGGCCCCATTTCCCACGTGGATCGGTGATTTAAAGCTGTTTTTCTTGCTGTTCAGGGAAATGATTGAGCATTAGGTTTCAATGTTTATTTTTTTACAGAAGTTTTTCTCATTTAAAAGCCTTTAAGCACAGTTTACGCTCCACGCTAGTTTTCTCTGTTTAATTCCAGTTTTGATGTTGACTTAAAATGTGGAGTGCAGAACTAAACTCCGTGCACAGCATTTGCAAGGCAGATTTATGTGCTAGAAATTGTACATCAGATCAATGGAAGAAATTTTTTTTTTCTTTAAAGGGAGGGATCACTAATAAAACCAATAACAAAAACTACAGCATAAGCTAGGTCAGGGTATACTCGCCCACCTGAAGCTAAAACCAGGCTTGATTTCTAGGCGAGTCGTTTTCAGTTCTAGGAAACCTCTCTTGACAGCTTTGAGCTTTTGCAGACACAAAAGTGAACAGAATCTGAACCCTTGTGAACTGAAGGCTGTGAGTGAACTCTTGCCGCCCTTCTCTATCCATTGGGCCAGATATTACTCAAGACAATGAGGTATGGGCCCCGCTGACATCTACATGATTTTAGCGAGCCATCCATTGTCAGTCCCTGATCCATGAAATTTTAAATTTTGTGTGGGAGAGGGAAAACCTCAATTATTTAGGAATGGGCTTGTTGCACAGAAGGTGCTGAAACGGTGTCTGAGAATTGCGGAGAAAATTACCTTCTGCAGGTAGCCCTACCGTAGAGCGGCCTCTACTAGGAGTCGCTCCCCTCGGTGGCTCGTGCCAGACTAGGGCCAGCGACCGCGTCGTGGCCTTCCATGCGCCTCCCGCCCGGCCCAGAGCACGCAGCAGGGAGAAGCGTGTGCGCCGTAGCCCGGCGGGTCGACTTGGCATACACCTGCTTTCTCGGGGGCGGCGGCCGGAGACCCGCCCGCCTTTGTTCCAGCGGCCGCAGCCAAGGGTGCACCTCCAGCTCGCAACCTCTTGACAGGGTCCATTTACCGGTGCCTCTCTGCGCTCCGAGAGGGTCCGGGGACGTCTCCGCCTCCCTGCCCCGGGCAGTAGCCTCCCGGATACGGCCCTGGGCCCGGAGCCCTGCGTGCAGCCAGGTCACTGCCCCTCGGACTGGCTGCTGCCTAAACCTTAAGCCAAGATTCCTTCCGAGCGAGCCATTTCCGCGAGGAAGGGCTCGGTCAGACCTTCTGATGCTCCACCGCCAAGTTGAACCGACGCCGGATCCGCAGGCGCTGCAGCGCCTGCCTATCGGCCTCGCCCGTGCCGAGCTCCCGGGCCGCAGCGTCGCTACCGCGAGGTCGGGCTCGAAGGCCCGGCGTCCTGGGGCGATACCCTTGACGTATTTCAGTAGCCACACATTGTACTCTTGTCAACCCCGTGTGCATTTTCCTCCCCACGGTTTACTCTGCATCTGGCGGAATCCCGCCGGCCCTCATTTCTGCAGTTCACGTTCTCTCGCGCCCGGCTCCGGTTTGGCCATCAGGCTCGGGCCCGATCAAGAAGCCGAAGCTCGGCGGCTGGAGCACGACAAGGGCTCTGGTCAGGGAAACCAGCTTCCGCTGTGACCGGCGGTCTCCACTCCAGATTTATGCTAATATTGGTGAATCCCCTGGGCGCGGCCAAGGGGTCTCTAGTCCTCCGAGAGACAAGCAGTGGAACCCTGGGCGGAGGTCAACGCTTTACACACACCATGGGATCCAGACAGCTGTGAGGGACAAGGTCTGTCCAGGAGACGCCGCCGAAACCCTCGGGAGCTCGGCCACACCCGCCTAGTGGCGGGAGAGGGCTGCAGGAGGGGCGGACCCCAGCCTAGCGGATGGGGGCGGGTGCACCTCGGTACATGAAGCATTCTCCTGCCGGGAGACTCTTCCCGGCGCGCGGTCCAGGATAGAGGCGCCCATTTTTCGCCTCTTTCTTCCAGGGAGAGCCCAGCCGCTGCAGCGACCGGAGCTCAAATTCGAGGGCCGCTTGGTGCCTCGGCCCCTGGGAAGGCTTGGACTATGCGCACTCCGCAAGGACGCGCAGGCCCTGCACAATATGCGGGATTCGGGTTTACTCCCCTGGGCCAGCCTCCTCTCTCACACCCCAGGCCCAAGTGAAACCCAGGTGGCTGAACCAAGCCCTTCTGAAACCTGAAGTTAGGAGCGTGACCTCGGAGGGCTTTTCCCACCGCAGTCGCCAAATTGTGGTCAGACCATGGGACAGCTCCCTCCGCCCCCTTCCCCCATATCGCCTAAAAAACATATCGCGATCAGTTGGGGAGGTGAAGGCTCAGGAAACCACTTCAAAGGGGCCACATAGCTATTGAAATATAATGTTTATTTATTTAAAAAACGAACTGTAGAACAAGCTTCTTTTGCTCCTCTTCCTGTCTGAGTGAAGGAGGCTATGACGCTGGGTCTGTAATCTATATTTTGTCAAGGGTATGCAATTCATTCCGACAGAAAAGCTCGATCAATTTATTTTTGCTGCTTGCAATAACACAGCTGGATGAGGCTTTGAGCTCAAGCTAGACTGGGGCTCATCATTCATTCGCCAAGAACGGCCCTAAATGGTGCCTGTGGGATTAGGTCAATTTTAGTGGATCTACTTCGCCTCATTTGGTTACTAATTGGTTTCTTGTTTTATAAATCGAAATCTCATTTTCAGGAAATTACAAAACCCGTGCAGTCAGTCCATTGAGGTAATCCTTGGGTCAGGGGGTATTTAAATGGAAATGGCTCAACCGCGCACTGAGGGTAAAGCAACAGTGAAACTTCCCTGGGTTTTCACATGGAATGTGAGCTAGCCCTTTAGATCCATAATAGATACATCCCTTCTAATGCTACTTATGTAAATATGTTAAAGCAGACTTTAAGGGAAGAGAGAGGCAGGGGAGAAGCAAAATATATCTGCTAAAGTTAATGTGGCATATCTTGGAAGTCTTCCAAAATAGATTATGTTTTTCTTTGTCTT